ATTTTTAACATAAATTATTAATAAAAAATAATTATTCACAAATTTATCCTTCGATAATTACCTACAAATTTATCCATCGATAATTATCCACGGATACATATGTGGGTAATTCTATGAGTAATTATCTAATTTAATTTTTGTTTATCATAATTACTTATAAATTAATTTTATTATTTTTAAAATAAATTATTAATAAAAAATAATTACTCACAGATACATCCGTCGGTAATAATGTCAATAATTTCGTGGGTATTGTTGATAATATTTTTAAAAATCATTTTGAAATTGTATTAAATAATAATCTTGTTTATTAAAACCAGTATATAGTTCAAAATTGGTAAAATTATTATAAATATTAAAAAATTATCTTTCAATTTTAGACTATCATGCATCAATATCATTTTACTAATTATATATTTCTCAATTTAAATAAAATTAACTATATAATATTAAAATATATTGATAGTAAATTATTATTTTATACTATCATTTAATTATAAATTATATATATATAATTGTTTGTATGGTAAATTAATTAGCATGAGAAAATTAGTTAAGTATTTAAGCATTTAATTTGTTAATATTTTTCATTAAATTTTTTAAAGTTACCGACGATTTTTTTTGCATTTTCTACAAACAACATTTTAGACAGATAATCCGTGAGAAACATCTGTCTGAAACATCATAATTTTCCTACGAAAAAAATATGTGGGTAACATTCATATGAAATTTTAGACAAAAAAATCTGTGAGTAATATCCGTCGGAATCATTGATGTTTCAAACGGACACATATCCGTTAGAACAATCCATCGGTAATGTCATTTTTCATACGAATATTTATCCGTGAGAAAAAGTCTGTCAGTAATGAGTGTTTTTTTTTTTGTAGTGGGACAAGGGATTTGTAGACAGGACAAGGCCCAATGACACATACCTCGTGCTTGGAACGATACCTCTAAAGAACCATATTGGTCTCTATCTGAATCGTGTCCAACATGACTGACCCCAGGCTCAACGAGAACATCGCCAAGAGCCCTTTAAAGTGTCAACAACACCTTGTGTGAGTTAGCTCACGCTTAGAGAAAGTGTGACACGAACCCCTGGAGCTTCTGCACCCAACAAGGGTTTTCCCACTCCTAGCATGAGAGACCCCAAGAGCAAACTCTACCTGATGGCCATCAAGTGGCACTTGACGACATATCAAAAATAACATGCATAAGAAAAACACAAATTACGGGTTACACTTGAAATTACCAAAACATATTCAACTAATAAACATGTTTTCTAGCATACAATTAACATTCCATATTACTCAATTTACATATACAACCAATATTTTCACACTACTATCACAATAATTTCACTTAGAGTTTCCCAGGATAACCCACAAGAATCTTAGATCATATAGTTACAATCCAAAACATACAATTGATTAATTATTCTAACAATTCATGTTATTAGTTATGAGTAAAAAGAACAAGAGACAAAATAAACACATTTAGGGAAAATCATTCGTGCATATGCATACAACATACACAAAATTGGGACCAATCCCATTACTTAACATGAAATTTACTCTTATTTATAAACATGGTTGGTTATCTTACACAATAACATTTTTAAGTATTAGTGAAAACATTTTAAGACATTTTTTTATAAAAAAAAATTTAGAAATTCTTTTAACTTCTTATCTATTTCAATTTTTATTTATCATATTTATTTATAATTAATTTTAATATTTTAAAATAAATTATCAATAATTAAAAATAATTTTGTTATAATATATATTATTTATCATAAATCTAAAATATAATTTATATATATATATATATATATATATATATATAATAGACATTTAGCCTATAGACAAAAGTACTACACAGAGACGAAAATACTAGATTAAATTTGCTGATAATTAAATTCGGTAAAATGTATATCTATAATTTATAATACAAAACTAATAACATATTTTTGTGGTTACAAATTTATAAACTACTTTATCTTTATAATTATTTTTAAGCCACTTTTTCCTACTGTCTCTCTCCTATTTTTATTTATTTAATTTCTATTTTTATAATTTGCGTAATTCTCCGACTAATCCCTCATTTATTATTATTTTTTTATTTTTTAATAGTGATATTTGGCGATTCTCCTCTTCGTATATATAAGAAAATCCAATTGCAATATTGGGTACAATTCCTCTCCCTTGGTCTAAACGATGTCGTTTTCTGCGAACTCAATCATTGATTCGAGTGACAGCACCACACCACTAAGTTCCATACACGTGACACGCCTCCTGCGGTATCGGGTAATATAACTAACTATAACTCAAAAAAAAAAAAAAAAAAAAAGACTACAAATTCCATCAACGGCTATGATTCGTCAGGTGTACCGTGGCAGAATCTTGACCGTTGATGGACTAATGGTTCTCAAGATCTTGATCTCTCTGATTTATTTACAGTCATAAGCACCTCTATCTCTCTTTCTAAGTTTTCTCAAGTTTCAATTCAACCATCACTGATCTCAGGTACTTCTTCATTCCCTATGAAATTTCCATTTAATTAACTGTAATTTTTCTCTGTAAGGATCTCCTTTTTGCCCAATTGGAAGCATTTTGGACATTTTTATGTTTTGGATATTTGTTTGTTGGTGTCTTAGAATGCGATCATTGATTAAGTTGTGGTATTTTGATTCTGGGTACACTTCATCTTGATCACCGGAAATCCATTGAAAAATTAGGAAGTATTAAAAAAGTGAACCAGAGTCTAACTCATAATTTTAGTGTAATCCCGAGATGGATTTTGATGCATTTTTGGAAACTGGTGATCAAGAAAAAAAAAAAAAAAAAAAAAGCTTTTTATTTCTATTTGTAATTTCATGAATAATTGCAAAAGCACTACTTTATTTTTGCTTTGTTTCATGTTTTCAAATAGTAGCTAAAAAACCATTTTGATATTTTACCCTTTTTTGTATATATTTGTAAACAGGAAACGCTGCAAATGTTTGTAACTTTGAAAATAGAAAATGCTTTTGTCAAGATTTTGTAACCCTGTGTTGTGATTTGTGAATAATCTGTTTGTATCCATATCTAGTGCTGATGGGTGCAGTGTTTCTTCTGCAAATTATTGATGTGCAAAGTTAACTTGTCACTGTTTTTGCCTTTGATTTGTTGTGATGGATCTTGCCCTACTGATTTGCTTTATCATTTAGTATTAGATATGTCTACATCTAATAAGCCTGAAGTGGTGGAAAGGGGTGCTAAGGATGAAAAGCCGAAGGAAGAGGATGAGAAGGGTGGATTTCTTGACACAGTGAAGGATTTCATTCAAGACATTGGTGAGAAGATTGAGGGAGCAATTGGGTTTGGGAAGCCAACTGCAGATGTTACAGGGGTGCGCATTCCAAAAATCAATCTTGAGAAGGCAGAGCTTGTAGTTGATGTTCTCATAAAGAACCCAAATCCGGTGCCAATTCCCCTAATTGACATAAACTACTTGATTGAGAGTGACGGGAGGAAACTAGTTTCGGGATTGATACCGGATTCCGGTACAATCCATGCACATGGAGAGGAGACAGTCAAGATTCCTCTCACTTTGATTTATGATGATATAAAGAAAACCTATCAGGATATCCAACCAGGAAGCATTATTCCTTATAGGGTGAAGGTTGATCTCATTGTGGATGTTCCTGTCATTGGAAGGCTCACTCTACCTTTGGAGAAAACTGGAGAAATTCCCATTCCATACAAGCCTGATGTTGATCTTGACAAAATTCAGTTTGAGAGGTTTTCTTTTGAAGAGACAGTTGCTATTCTTCATTTGAAGTTGGACAACAAGAATGATTTCGACCTTGGCCTCAATGCCCTTGATTATGAGGTCTGGCTTGGTGATGTTAGCATTGGAGGAGCAGAACTTTCCAAATCTGCTAAGCTTGTGAAAACTGGGATTACTGACATTGATGTTCCAATCACCTTCAGGCCTAAGGATTTTGGGTCTGCACTTTGGGACATGCTTAGAGGAAGGGGTACAGGCTATACTATTAAAGGACATATTGATGTTGACACTCCCTTTGGAGCAATGAAATTGCCCATCACCAAAGAAGGTGGCACTACCCGGCTCAAGAAGAGCAAGGAAGATGGTGGAGATGATGATGATGAGGTTTGTTAACTTCCATTTTCAATGTTTCTTAAGTGCATGTTCTCCAGAAAATTGCACGTGTTTTAGTGTATTATATATTTGTATGCATAATATTGTCGGTCAATCATAAAAACAATAAGTAATACCACTTATTTATTTTGGTGTATGGGATGTATATATATGTTATGCTTGTTGTCATTGAAAATTTTAAAATTTCTTTTTAAAAATTGATTTAATTGGTCAAATTTTGATGGCATTAGTATGCAAATCAGTCCAGGATGTTATCTGCAATGCTGACAACAAATATAGCAGTTCTCAATATTTTACATTTTAATTCACTCACTATTATCTTGCATATTTTCCTGAGTATAGTTTTTACGGTGTTGGCAATATCATATTCTATCTCAGACTTTATCATCAGTTGAGAAGTGAAGAACATGATAGCACCAGATAGCCTGTACTCTTTGAAATTTCAATATTTCGACATTCATTACATTAGGGGCCTATCTTGAATTCAGATCTGCAATTCTTGTTTGGTAGAGTATGAAAATAGACATACTATAGACGGTCAGATATTAGTCTAAAAATAATTAACTTCTTAGTAGAGATGGTGAAGAATCTAGTAATTTTCTTGTGCTGTAAATGTAAGCCTTTAATGTTTTCTTTTGCAGGAGTGAAGAAGAAATGGCATCAAGTTATTAGTATCGGTTATTTTATTTACTTGGTGTATAGGTCCATTAGAAAGTTAAGAAAAGGGACATGAACTTAAAGGCACTAATCTTAGTTTCATGGTTATTTATGTATCTTGAGAGTTCAAGTTTGACGTTTGAAATGGATGGTTGTATTTATGGTTAGATGTGTGGATATCAGTTTGACGTTTGCCCTTGCTCTTGAAGCCACGTTCCTGATAGAGTACGTAATTCCTGATCAAATTCAAAACAATGCAGAGGTATCTTTTAAAAGCATGATTATAATTTTGTCAATCTTTTGGGTCCTAAATAAACTGTGTGTGGTTACTGGTTCTGTACCTTTTTGAATCTCAAGGGGAAGAGTGTTGTAGAGTGTTTTGCTATTGACGTCTTCTATTCAAAATTAATATTTATATAATTGTTAATTTGCTATTCTCAGCAATGTATATTTTATGAGATGTTATCCAAACTTTATTATGTAATGTTTAAATTTCATTTAATGGCACATATTTATTTTATATTTCATATGTTATGTTTCACTAGGTTAGTATAATACTTAGTCTTAAATTTCACAAGGAGCTGATCATTCACTAAGACTAATTTTTTTGGGAGGTCTAAGGGCACTTAAAAGTATGTTACCCCTTCTCAACCAATTATTTCCGTACACAAGTTAATTTTGAATTTCTGACCATTTTGTTAAAAAATTCAATCTATTAATACTCGAACCAACTACTTGTAGTTGTTGGTTGTGTACTACTCATGATATTCTTTCTCCTTCTGTTGAGGAAAGTGTGACAATTTCACTTGATTGTAGTACTAACGTAAATATAGTTCAGTTTATCCATTCTATTCATGAATCTCTTTTGTTCAATTCTTTGGGATGTTCAGCCCAAGAAATCAGTTTTTATGCTAGGAATGTAATTCTTGATAGTGATGACAGTGAGATTTATTTCATTTGATATATCTCATCACTTTCTAAAATATAAGTTCTAATAGATTTAGTAGGTAGTTGAATCCTTTTCACATTACCCTATTTTTCCCTTTTTAGTTTTTACGTTGTTACCATTTCCTATTTCTTTCAATTTTCACATGCACTCAAATTGTGGTATTGGCGATCGACGGTGTTATAGGCGCATGTGACTTCTTTGATAATATCAAAAGTGTTAAGTTTGACAAAATTTTTTTTCTTCAAGCACTTCCTTCCCTTTCTCAACATTCACATGTTCTCACTAGTTCTAGCTTATTCCGTAAATATACTTTCAAAAAGTACAACATAATTTAATGTTTTAGAAAGTACCTTGCAAAATATTAATTTTAGTGTTCTAGGAAGTATTTTTTAGAATAGTGAAATTACTATTTTGAAAAATACTTTTCAAAATTGTATTTTTTTTTACATATATAGTTTCAAAAAATACTTTCCAGAATATTAAATATATTGTTTCAGATTTGTTTTCTTTGAATTATGTAAAACAAAAATACTTATGGAAAGTACTTTTTAGAACACTAATTTACTATTCTAGAAAGTAATTTCCAGAATACTAAAAGCAAACTTCTAGGAAGTATTTTTTTGGAAGTATGAAAAAAAGGTTAAGTTCAACGGAATACCTTTGTTGTATCTTATTTATTGTATACATTAAATTCAACCGGTTGTTTGTTCATGTTGTGCATAAGTAATATTAAATGATTACAAAAAAATATAAATAAAAAATATAATTTAATATATTTATTTGTACATTGTATTGAATGTAGGG